CGAGATAGAACGGTACGGAGGATAAAATTGATGGTCTGGTCCAGGAGTTACGACAATGCGTACATAGAAGATATAGCGAGAAATGATAGATACGGGGCGAGATGTACACGAGTAGCCCGCAGCGTCGGCTCAATATCAAGGTTGCTATCAATTTTCCGCTAGTGAAAACTTTGACGCGCGTGCGTCGGCTTTACTTCGCTTTTTTTTTTTTTTTTTTATCTAGAACAGAACGGCGTAAAATAAAGGGAGCTGTTGCTCTAAAATTGCAATGGTAACCGGAAAAAGCAAAGATAAATCGTCCTCTAAATTATTTGCATAAAGGAAGTAATTATTCATATTATTCCATATCTATATCGTAAAGGGAACCGCGAGCACAAAGAATAATGAAAAATGTGGGGGACGGCGAACGGGGAAAATCATCGAAAATTCGTTCCTCGAGATTGAACCTTTCGCTCGATTTCGACCATGGGAATGGGATTTCCGATGAAACCTTTTCGGGGCAAAGCCGAACAAAGAGATATCGCCGATTATAATGGATTCCCATGGGAGGAGAGTAATATCTGCCCGGAGTTCTCGGCCTCGGCCGACGTGGAAAAATTAAAGAGTACGGCATTCGTACACCTAACGCCGGTATCGCCGTTTTGCGGTATATATCGCGAGCTCGAATTTATTCATTTCTGCATTTTCTATTATACGACCGGTAGCGCAGCTGCAGCGCCGGGGGCCATTATTTCCGTTCCGCTGACAGATTCAGATACGCGCGTGCTCAAATGAATGTACGTCGCGACGTAATTTCTAATTTTCTCGCAAGGTTCTCGCACATCTCTCTCTCTCTCTCTCTCTCTCTCTCTCTCTCTCTCTCTTCGAGGCCACACAAATTTTTTTTCCTATTTCTTCTTTATTCTCTTTCCCTCGCAGCTGAGCTGCGTGCGCGCAATAATTCGTTGCCTTCCACGCTCGCGTTCGCTTCGCGAAAGATTGCGGCGGGAGTCGCACGATAAATGGTTGAAGAGAGTTATCTCTTAAACAGATAGGAAAAACCTCGCGTTTTCCGCAGATTTATACGCGCCTCGCTCATCTCACTTTTATCGCGGCGAATCCCAACGAGTGAAAGATCGCCGCGAGCGTAAAAATTCGGGAGCGATCCTCCGACTTATCGCCGTGAAAAAGTCGTAATGTAATTAAGATCGAGTGTCCTGCGCCGAGTTACGCGAGGTCACTATTTATCAATGCACTCGAGCGTAGAGGTAGAGTAGGTAGTTCTAGGGTATATTGCACAATGCAATTCCTTATTGGCAATATTACCTATATAGCTACGAGCCCACGAGAGGGCGAGTAGTCATCATAACTTGCGGCATTATTGACAGATCTGTCACATGTGTCTCGTATAAATTGCCTTTATTGGGAGTACAAATGATACTTCCCCGCATTTTATTGTCCACGGAGTTTACGTACAAAATATTAAACGATAAATTAAAATAATAACGAATACGTGTCAATTACGTGTTTCGTCGAACGCATCTGCAATACGGATTACACGTCAATCTCGCGTAATGTCAATCTCCTGTAATGTGTCGAAAATGAGATACGACGAGAAATATCGAGAGAGATAAGATAAACGCTGCGACGCTCGCAAACACGTACCGACGGACGATTTTCGAATTTCTGCCTGCCTTTTACGTCACTTTTTCTGATATACCGTTTTTATTATTAAACGGTAAGTGTAAACGGGAGAATCGGCGAATCTAGATACGGCATCCCGATATAGGAATTTCCTTCGACGCTCTTCAACCTTACGATCTATTAGTGTCGGTCTACAATAAGTATTTAATCTTTAAGCCATAAGAAATTGACTAATCATAGTCGAGTATTCTTTTCATATTCGATTATAATTGGTCAATTTCTTACTTCTTAAAGCTTAAATCACCTATTGTGGACCGACACTTATCTATGTCGAGCGCGAGATAAAATTCCGCGACGCAAAGTTAAGTGTTAAGACTCTCTACTTCTAAGAGCCACGATCGATATTCATTAGTATGCTCTCAAATGTATCAGCCCCGAAAACCGGTTGCTCTGAAAATTTTTTTCGCGGTGTGTGCCGCGGCGACGATGTATGCAAATGTTAGACCGCGCGATAAACCGCGCGGTCTCTTTCCCTCGAGATAAACCGTCGCAGCAATTATGCAGCGCATATAGCGTATCATCGTTTCCGAGAAAGAACATCGTCGTTTTGTTCGCGGAATAATACGTGTTACTCCTAATGCAAGGCGTTATCGTCGTCGCATAAATGCCCGACGAGGAAGCGAACCCGGACGAGATAAGCTGATTTCAGGCTACGCGCTATTTTATTCCCCGGCTAAAATCGACTTGATCGGCACGATCGGCTGCGCCTCGGGAGAATTCGCGAATTCTTGCTGCGTCAGCTCTCGTCTTCGACGTTTCCCGTCGTCGCGCGTGGAAATCGCCGTCGTGTGGAAAACGCGTGTCGAATCGATGCTCGCGAAAAAAAAACCGGTATACGCGCGTCGGACTTAACCGCTCATTCCTCGCCTCGAGGAGCGAGAAAATTAAAATAATAGCGGTGACCGCACGCGCGTCGCCTACGAGCGATGATTTCAGCAGAGACGAATGTGCAGAACGACACGTTCGTTGCGTCGTCAAGTTCGCGGCTCGTCGTGAAAATTGCAATCGTGACCTGGTTTAACGGCGTTTAACTTGACGGCTTTTCGACGAAGCGGTCTCCGGGAAGGAGACAAGCGCGGAAGGAAGGAAGAAAGGAAGGACACTCGCGAAAATCCTGACTGAATTAATCATCGTCGTGGGCAGGAACCGCAATGGGGAATCCGCGCGAAATGTTCCACGAGCGATTCAATTAAAATTGCAATTGCTCGGCGAGATCGCGAAGGCCGCGAATCGGGGCGCGAATCGGGGATCGATCGGCCGGGAGGCGTGTAACAAAAATACGTGGCGCATAAACGTGGTAACGTCTCTCTTCTAATCGCCCGCTCTCTCTCTCTCTCTCGTGCTTCTCTCCCGCGTCCTTCTCGTATCCGCTCGTATCGTTATCTGTTCCTCGGCCGCACGTAACCGGGATATTCACACGAACCGAGGTACGCGATAGTCGATATCAACTTCGCCGACAGTTACTGGACGACTTGCCCCGAGTAAATAGACGGGACAATTTTGATGCACGAAACACGACCGGGCCCCCCCCCCCCCCGAGTATCGACATCCATCGAGATGTTTACGCTCCTCTCTTCGGCTTATGTACTCTGGAATTAGACAGCCGAGCAAGAGGTTCTCTCTTGACGAGCATACGAGCTGCCTCGTGAGGCTTAAGCGCTCGCGTGCCTCGCGAGCGAGTCAATTTCGAGGAGCACGACTTTGGAATTATTTAACATGAAAGCTCGACACGGAAATGCGAGCATGTGGCTTCCAGACTTTCGGACAGACTTTCGCTCAGAGAATCCCCCTCGAAGCCAGGAAACGGGACGTAATAAAAATGAGAAACAGAAATGCCGCTCCTTCGCAGACTCCACTTCGCAAAGTGCATACTCGCGAGATACGCGTACGTCGAAAAATCAAAATAATTGCTATTGATATGAATTTATTCATATCAGCAATATGAATTCCAAAGAGATCAGATTACGTAATCTCTCGATATTGACACGGCGCGTTGTTTACACAACCCAAAGAGTGGAAAGCTCTGAACCGGGACTCGGAGGAAGAAGCTTTTACTCGACGATCGTTCAGACGCCGCACTCAAGACGGCGGATAAAAAAACGTACACGATCGTATCTCTCTAATCCAAGTTGAATCCAAGTTGATCAAGTAGATCATCCTCCTTCTTCTCGACCATTACATAATGTAACGGACAATATTTGCACGCGCGTAGGTCTGATTAAAGCCAACGCTATCTAGTCGGCCGCCAGTGGCGTACTTTCTCTCACGACTGATCCTATAAAATTTCTAATTACGCGAGTTGCGTCGTTCACGTTTCATCAATCGTTCGACACCGCGACGGAGGAGAACCTCGGCGGATCTCATTCCGCGCGCGGAATATCCCGAAATAAATGACGTGGTTCGCATATCGCCGGGAGCTTTTTCCTCCGGGACTTTTTGTGAAAATCTGCGAAAAATGCGCCGAGGACGACGTGTTATCGACGTGTTATCCACTTTAATTAGGGCGAAACAGAGGGTAGGAAGGGATTATCGGAGGGGGGAGGGGGAGGGGGCGAACTAAACGTGCTCGGTACTGACCTTCTTAACTTGAAAATGCTCCGGCCTGAGGTTCTCGACGATCTCCTGGTCGGGCTTGGCGGGCTGCGGGACCGACGACCGGAACCCGTCGAGTACACCCTTGATCGTGAACTTCTTCATCGCGTCTGCCAAATGGGGTCGGCCACTCGGGGGGGAGGGATCACATGTGCAACCGTGCGTGCCGTTCGGTCCCTTCGTGTCCCTCCGTCCGCTTCTCTGCGAGATCACGGCTGGGGGATTCCAAGATTCTCTTTAGGCTCGTGTCGTGCTGGCTCGTCCACGTCTCGTCGGTCCGAGTTCATTCGCGGAAATCCAATGACATGTTCGCTCCCTCGGCGCGATCGACTCTCGGCGAGATCGAGACACGCTGATGCTGCCGCTCTGCCTGAGAGTGATTCTCTCTACATTTTGACAGATCGGACGTATCCGTGGACGTGGCCGTGTCAGTCGTGGAGTCGCACCGTGCCGTGCCGCGATGCGATGCGATGCGATGCGATGTGATGCGATG